GAGAGAGAGAGAGAGAGAGAGAGAGAGAGAGAGAGAGAGAGAGAGAGAGAGAGAGAAGAGCCTCGAAGGCTCTGGGGTGGGGGCACTGAGTGACAGGATCGAGGACTCAGGTAATCTTGGACAGTTTTCGAAGTGAGTATTGGGACCCCCTGAAGCAAGTCCCCGGCTGGTGTCCCTGACCTGCAGCCTCACACATCCTTGTACACGGGGAGCTCACCAAAGCCTGAGCACGTCCAGATCGGGGGGGGGGGGGGGCAGGTGCCCCTGCTCTACCCACGGGGACAGTGGGAGAAATGCGCGATGAGCCCAACAGCCTATCTGTTCCTGGGACCGAGAGGAACATCATTTTGATCCAAGGGCCATAACTGATGTTTCAGATGTTATTGACTTGGTGTGGTTTCCGGGCAAACAATTGGTCTCCTACGTTAAGAGACAATATTGCTAAGTGCTTTTTATTTTTTCAATGCAAAAAGAAAGAAATAAAAAAGAGCTACCCATTTTCCTCATTCCTGCAGGTGCCCAACCCGATTGACTAGTTGGAGTGCATTTTCTGCATTCTTAATAGATAGCTAGCAGGAAATGCCTTGTATAGCCCCGGCTACAGGGGTAGAAAATAGCAAGGGAGGGTCCAAATCGACGGCCCCTGCTTCCGTCAGCACGGAGGGTTTCAAAAGTGGACAGCACCTGTGGGCATGAAAACACACATTTCCCAGCCATAGGCTTTTGCTCCGACTCGGCTGATGGTCACCCATTAAGGTAGGAGAAGCTGGGGCCTTTGGAGGGAGGACGGATGGAAATTCAACTGGGAAGAAGTCGGGTATGTGTCACGTGAGATGCCATCTGGTCCCTTTGGGGCTTCCTTCCAGTGGGGCATGGTAAAGCCTGTCCTCCCCTCCACTCTACCGCTCCAGGTGCTGGATACATTTGCAGGAGGCTGGGCAGTGCTCATGCAGGCAGGCTGGCAGAGCTGAGGACAAACTGCCGGCGTTGGGTGGCACACACAGAGACTGCACAGAACACCGGGCAACACCACCAGGCTGCTTGGAGCACTTGGGGCCTCTTGATCTTGTGTGTTGGGGAGCTTGCAGGCAACACGTCCTTCACTGGTTATGCTTTTGACTGCTCAGCTGGACGGCTTGGCCTTGGGGTTTTGTCTGCAAGCTCTTTCTCTATAAGCTTGGCGCTGGTACAAAAACGCCTTCTCCAAGGAAGTGCCACCCTTTCTGCAGCCTCCCCGAGGCCCCCAGGGGTAGCCTGGCATCCCCATCTGAGCCAGACCCACCCCACCAATTCACTATGAATAAGGGGATCCCTCTCACAGCGGACTCATTTGAGGATGTCACTGCTTCCATGGCTCCAGAGTGCAGTGAGAGGTAGTTCTGCAAAGGATTAAGCCAAATGACAGTTCTGGGAATCTGAACATCCCTCTTCACCGGGCCCCGAGGCAGCACAGAGAACTGTGAGCTGGCTCCGAAGAAGTAAGCCGCGGCTTTGTTTTGGCGTGGGTGGCTGTGTGTTTGGGAGGAAAAGCAGGCGGAGAAAGCTTTTGGGGTTGGTACAAGCTCTCTGAAGTGGATAGGCCTGGGGCCTTGCCTCTGACTTGCTATCTATCGCCAATCTTTCCTGACTGTGACTGCGGCCAGTTGGCCTGTGGTCTCTGCCCAAGGGACCGGGAGGGAGCATGCTTCTGAGCCCTGCTGTCCCAAGCAGTGACCACAGGTGATCCTGAGAGTAAGAGGCGAGTCCCGCAGAGGCACTAAGCTGCGAGGGTAGCGGGTAGCGAGAGTGTAGCGAGAGTAGCGGCTCCCAGGACGGGCCAGAAGAGAGCGCCCGGCTGGCTTCTGCCTGCCTCCCCAGAAGGAAATCAGAGAGCTGCTATTTGGTTCCTTGCTTGAAGTCTCTAGAAGTTCCAGACTAAGTTGCCACTCTGATAGGACAGGAGGCTCAGACATGTAGAGGGGAAGGGATCAGGGAAAGGGACAGAGTGGAGCCCAAAACACCTGCATTCAAATCTCAGCTCTGCCACTACCTAGCTGTGTAGTGCCAACAGTTTATTGGGGACCCCTCACCTGCTTATCTAGAGAATGGGGATCATAGCACCTACTTTGAGGAGTTGTAAAGTTTGGGGAAGTATCCAGGTAGCTTCTGGCACAGAGGTGGTGTAAACAGTAGCTTCAGAGAAAGTGCTGCCCCCATTCGTGGTAACTTTATAATTCACCACACCTGGGCTTTATTTCTACGCATCGAGTATCTGAAAACACCTGTGCTTTTTTTCCACGGAGAAATAATTTACTAGGGTAAAATGCACAGATCTTAAGAGTACAATCTGGTGAGTTTTGAGAATGTCTCCATCCTTGAAAGTTTTGAAAACGTCTCCATCCTTGAATCCCCTTCATCCTCATCAGAATGTGGGGCGTGCTAACCCCGTTGAGAGCTCCCACAGGCCCTTGCGCAGGTAAATCTCTGCTCCCCACTCACCTGCTCTGACGGTGACTTGTGTCCGCCACAGAAGGAGAATCAAACAATGCGTGCTCTTCTGTGTCTCGCTTCTTTCGCCTAATATACTGCTTTGACACTCGGTCCACGCTGTGCATGGGGGTCTTGTTCAATAATCCAGGGCATGCAAATGACCACGCACGCTGGTTGATTCTCCTGCTGATGGGCATTTGGGTCGTTTCCACAATTTCATTAGTATAAATAAAGCTGCTGTGAACACTCAGGTACCAGTGTTGCTGTGGGCATAGGTTTTTTGTTTTCTTGACAATCTACACCTGGAGGCGGGACAGCAAGGATGTTGGTGAGTGTGTGTTTGACTTTATAAGAATCCGAAAACATTTTTTCCAAGTGTCCATTCTTGTTTTTTTTTTTTTTAATTGCAATGAAGGAATGACGCGTTCCATTTTTCAGGTAGTCATGCTTTTACTATCGACCGGGGGCGGGGGGGAATAGATGGATGAGCTCAACCAAAGGTTTCTGCAGACTTTATCCAGTTATGAGTGGGGCGATGAAGATGGTAGTGACAGAAACTTTTTAGCAAAGGGCTTCTGGCTCACCACCAGATTCTTTCCTATTGTCCCATCTTAATCTGCTGACACTTCTGGCAAAACCACAGAATAGGCTGCAGAATTCATAGACTCCTACCTCTTCGTGCTACCCCGAGAGGCTATGAGGGTCCCCCCTCCCGAGTTAGCCAAGCCCGGCAAACCCCAGGTATGGTTTCCTTGCATTGAGCTTTCTCTGCAGGAAGCTCCATTCAGTCAGCGAGCCATTGTTTACTGTCCTCCCCACCTTGTGCTAGGTGCTAAGGATAAAGAAATGAATAAGAAATGACTCCCCTCCTCGAGGATCTCATCGATTAGAGAGGGAAAGCGGCTATTAAACTCTAGTCATTTTCATGATAATCACAAGAATGAATAGATTAAAGGTGTCTTAAGTCAGAGCACGGGGCCAGGCAGATTGGGCAGCCAGAGGGAACGAATCCTCCCACCGGCTCCTTCTCCGGGAAGGTCACTCGAGTCTAGAGTCAGGCTCCGGCCCGCGTGCCAAGAGACAGCGCCTGTCCTCCAGCTGCTCACAGGTAGGATGCAATGCCACAAACCAAGGCCAAGTTCAAGGCCTCGACTCTTTGCAGGCACCGTTCTAGTTGTGGTGGCTACAGTGGGGGACAGAGCTGACAATCCGGTCATCTTTCCGGGGGTTTTTGCCGCAGTCGCTGCGGTGCGTCAGTATAAAGTTTGTTCCTTTGGTCTTTTGGAATTTCGCGTTTGGTGAGAACAGGCCAGGAGGCCTCAGGGGCTGGTGCTGTTTGTGTCGGTAGATCCGAAGCGGTGGGGCGGGCCGGTGAGGACCTTATCACTCACTCATCGGTGAAGGCATGAGGTCGCCGGGAGCTTTTGGTGCTTCGTTTTCTTGTCTAGAAGCGGTCAAGATGCAAGCATTCTTTCTCGGAAAAACGGAAACGGTCAAGAAGCCACGGGCCGCTGAGGCCAGCTCTCCGGGGAGCACGTGCCTTTGCCCAGGGGGATGAGTCTAGTTCTGGGTGGGTCCAGGCTCCGGCCTCTGGAGCTGGAAGGCATTTCCCGAGAAGGCAAGCAACTCTGCTGTTTGCCCTGAAGGTCCTTTCCCCCCGTTTCCGGCGGCTCTGCCCGTTCGGTTGCCAGGTAATTCTGTGTGCGGGCGAGGGCCCCTTGTGCGCTTCCTACAGGTCGGTCTGTTCCCTGAGCGCGGGTCAGACAAGAGTCCTCAGCTGGTTCTCAGACCAGCACCGCATTGTTGTCGAGCTGGCCACTAACTGCTTGGGGGCTTGGTGGTCCCTGGAGCCCTTGTGCGAGCCTGTGCCCGGTGGGAGCCAACCGCCTGCCCCCGAGTATGCCGCTGCTCTCCAAGCCACTTGGGAACCGAGCAGCGCCAGTAAATCATACATTTGCTCCGCAGCTCTCACCTGTGCCCCCCACCATGGAAGAAATGAGGGACACTGCCCTCCAGACGCAGAAGCCCATAAAGACTGAGTGGAATTCCCGGTGCGTCATTTTCACCTATTTCCAAGGGGACATCAGCAGCGTAGTGGATGAACACTTCTCCCGGGCGCTGGGCAATGTCAAGAGCCCCCAGGGAGCGAGCCCCTTGAGTCCGACTGAAGATGTGATCCTGAGGAATGGTGAGCATGCCGGGAGGGAGGAGGCTGGGGCTCCGCACTGCTGGGACCGGAGACCAGGGCTCCAGGGTCCTCGGATGGGTGTATTTGCCCAGGGCAAGTCACTGCCTCCAGAGAAGCCAGAACCCCTTTCTAGAAGTTTAAAATGGAAAGGAACTTGGCTTCATCAAGTCCGTTTACCTCCTTCATTATGTCCTCGATTGCATTAAATGCTGGGTTCAAGGGTGACTACACGAGGGAGCTCCCAAACACTTTGCTGTTATCATGGTAATTATTGTGACCGCCAAGATGCTCAGCGTTATTATTATTGTAATTCCCAAACTGTTAGCTATTATCGCTGTTACCATTACTGCTGCTGCTGGGCACCACGCCCATATTGGCCTGCTGGGGCTGGACACAAAGGATTCCTGGTCAGAAAAAGCCCTGCCCCTGGATGGGACAGAGCTGGAGGGCTGGGGCTGGGGGGAAGAAATCTCATCACCCCCCACCGGCAACACTAGCGGGAGTGTCTGTTCCATGTACTGGCTGGCAATGTTTCGTAAAATAAGCGTTCTTACATCTCCCAAAGCGGTTGTTTCCACAGAGCTGTGTCAGACTGTAGTCTTTGAAAAGTCCAGGCTTGCAGAAAGCTATCACAATTAAACTCCAGGGGTGTGGTCTGACCCCCAGCATTGGTGACCAATATGTAAATGGGCAATTTGTGAGGAATGGATTCAACCCAGGCCGGACTCATTTTTGTATATCCATTCTACACATTCAACATTCAATTCTTTTTCCTGATTTCCAAAGCCAATCAAAGATCCTTGTGGGGTGCAAGGCGGGGGGCGGGGGCACTGGCCCTCAGGGAGCCTCCCTGGCAGCTTAGAGCCGTCCCTGGATTACCCGCAGGTAGACCAGGGCCTGACTGGAGCTCTGCGCTGTGGCTGTGAGGCACCTTGAGTGCCTCGCTCCCCTGTGAGGAGTATGCCCCCTGGTGGGGTCCCTCCTCTTGGGCAACAGCTCCCCTGGGCCGCCACCACTCTCACTTTTCTCTTGAGGTCTGGGCAGGGAGTTTGTGTATCTCCTGTACTCACCTTTGCAGGATTTACTGCTCTCCTAGAAATTATTTTTCCAGTCAAGTGATTTTTCCGAGAGTCTTGTGAGTTCAGTAAACCTGTGGAGGAGGGTTTGGTAGCTGCAGCTCAGAAAGGAAGGATTGGAGCTGTTAAAATGGGCGCCAGGGGGTGGAGGAGAGCAGGAGGCTATCTCAGGAACACTCCGGTGCTTCAGAGCTGGAGAGGGGGACTATCTGGAGCCCTCTGGGGCACTGGCTTCTGTTAAGAGCCTGTAAGCGTAGCAAGTGGAGTAAGTGGAGTTCGGGGATTAAACCTTTGAGGTCTTTTTTTTTTTTGTCCTTTTGAGGGGCAAAAAAAGAAACCCCAGGCTCCACTGCATAAAGTCTGCCCACACTGGCGCTTGGTTTCATTGATTTAGTTGTAAGGGCAGTTGGCAGGGGATTCAGTGACCTTCTGGTGAGGAGCTTCACTCCACAGCTGCTGTCCCACTTGATACCCGCCTTCTTCACATCAAAGAGGACTCTCCCACAGGACAGGTTCTAAACCGAAACGCTCTCAAAAAATGTATTTATATATATATTACGTCATTACTCATTTTTGCTTTTAAAAAAATTTATTTATTTCTACATGCAAGAATTGGGGTGCAGGCTGGAAGTGTGGGGATTGAGAGGGTTCACCAGAGACAGAGTGGGGGCAGAATAGGCAGATGGACTGAAACACACTGCTGAGGGCAGCAGCGGGCGGGTGAGGACCGGTCTGCTGTGCCATGTAGGTCAGCTCCGTGGCCGGGCATCACTCGGGCTGCACTGGCTGCAGATAGCTTGGTAGCACTGTGTCTTTGACCCCTGTGCCACCAGGGAGGCCCCATTGTTCATTCTGGCCGATATTTGCTTTCTCCTCTCAGGTGCAGTCCCTGCAAAATTCCCTCCACCAGTGCATCTGTGCACCATCACCATAGTCCCCTGTGCTCTTCCCTCCCCTTAAGCCCAACTCCGAAGACTTCCTTCTACCTGCTTGGCCCCTGTCTGCGCCTCTCAAAAACCGGCAGCTGCATTCTTGCAATAGCTAGGACTCAAGTTTAACTCCTCTATCTCCTACCCCACAGCCAACCCTTAGACAAAGTCTGTAAGTTCCGCCTTCCAAGTAGATCCATTTCTCCCACCCACAGATGTCAGTCACCTTGGTCCCTGCAACCGTGTTCTGCCCCCCAGCGCCCCAATTTCTACAGTAGCCCCCTAAGCTGCCTCCCTGCTCCTGGCCTGGCTCCCCCACTCGCTTTACCAGACCACTGTCACGATAACGTGGCTGAAGTGCGAGGCAAAGCCTGTGACTCTCCCTTCCGCAGCCCTCCAACAGCGTCCATCTCGCTTGGAGCGGGGTCCGGAGTCCTCCATGGGGCCCCGCCGCTCTCGGGCCCTGTTACCTTGCTGACCTGAGCAGCCCACAGCTTCCCACCTCAGCCCATCCGGTCTCACCTGCAAGCGGTTCTTGCAACGGGCCAAGTACAGTCCTGCCGCAGGCCCTTTGCACCTCCTCGGCCCCCGCTCCCTGAAACGCGCCTCGCCAGGGAACTGCATGACTTCCCCTGTCTTCATTCCAGGCTGCATCGGAATGTCGCCTCTGCAGACAGGCCCCCTCTGAGCAGCCCACTGAAGCGATAGCGGCCCACCCTGCCCCTCTGTCTTCTGTTTTGTTTTTCTTCTTAGCACTTGTCGTCACTGGCGGTGGGACATATTTACGTGTGTCCTGCTGGTCTCCTCTCGCCCCTCCCCCCCCAGCCTCTGAATTCCAGGGCAGTGGGACACGCTGTTTACTGCTGCTTTTCCAGGCACCTAGAAGGCACTTAGGAAATACAGCCTGAAGGAGTGAAATGTGGTCGGGATCACAGGGTGGTGGTGTCTGCCACAGGCAGTCACTGTGGGGACGGAGTTTCATGTGGTTGTGACTGTTGAACCAGGTAGCCAGGGCAGGGTCAGGCCAACTCCACCATTTATTAACAGTGAAATCTTGGGGCATGTCACTTCACCTCTTCTGCGTCACTTTCCTCATCCTGAAAATGACTATTGTTTCACTGTGGGAGTCCCTGAGGAAACATGTCGAGTGACACATAGGAAGTGCTTGCTAAGTGGGGCTAGTCATCTGTGTGACAGTGGTACTGGGCTGACAGGCGTTTTACAGTGAGTAGCCTGGATGTGAGTGGGGGCCACATCCGACACGGGATCAAAGCAGCAGGCCTCGTCATCCAGGGACTTGTGCTGTCGGCAGTACCATTTCCGAAGCCATTGAGTCCCCTCTGTGCCTTGTGACTTCCCTGCCCACTACAGAAACTTGGACATGGCTGTGTTTCTGGCCCAAGCCAGTCCTCCCAGCCCAGAGAGGCAGCTTTCTTCTCCACCTACCTTCCTGGCTGTTGCATTTTCCTTGTGAGGCTCGTGCACATCTCTTGGCTGTGAAGACACTGTCACTCTCACTGAACTTGAAGCAAATGTTAGCATGGCTGACTGAGCAGATGGAGGCCTGTCCACAGGGTCCTCACAGTAATGAGGCAGCATATCACAAGCGCTGCTCCCTCAGGGGAGGACCTCACGGAAGGAACCTAGCGGTTCCCACTGGAGGTGTTATGGGGAATACATTGCAGCTTGGAAAATGGTGGGAAGTCCATAGAGTGGCCTTTCATCACTGACTGTTAGCGTACTCTCACCCCTACAGGCCAGGTTGCCCAGCCCCAGTGAAGCCAGGCTGAAAACAGGCTCTCATTCATGGGCTCACACAGTCACCTCTCGAATATTCTGAGGACACTTTGTCAAGCCAATATGCAAAGTCCAAATGCAGAGGCCCCAGTGGCTGGGAAATGCCCTCCAATTTCCTGGCTGCTTTGCCCTCATCAAATTTATGTTTTTATTTACTTAGGTCTAATTTACACTGGCTGTACTTCAGAAAAGAAAACACATGCTGGAGATTTCTTTGAATTATCTAGCTCCCTTTTAAAAGGACATTGGGGATGTTAGAGGATGGATCTTGAGAAGCTGCAGTAGTTACCATTTCTCAGGGAGACACAGTCCTCAGGCACATCTCACCCCATATTCCTGCCCCAACCTAAAGCTTGAGCCCCGAGCCCAGCCCCAGGCTTGCTGAGAGAAAGTGACAGGCAGACATGTCTGCATTTCCTTCCTTCCCCTGCCCCTGTAATCCAGCCTGTGGGTGGGGGTGTGAGTGGGTGGGTGGGAGTGGCTCCTTGTTAGTGTGAATATTGATGTGATGTAGCCATGCCAGTCACTTATGGTCCTTGTGAATACTGGCAACTTCACAGCTTACTTTCCAGTAAGGGGCAGCTAAATTTGTACCCACATATATTGAGAATCCTTCTCCCTCAGACATTTTACTACTATTTCTGCATTTGCACTAGTCTTCAAAATCAACTGTGGTCTATAAAGGTCAAAGACATGCACAATGAATCAGTGGTGTTAGAAGACAAGAGAGAGGTGACCTTTGAGGGGGAGGTGTAGTGACTGGAAAGGGACAGGCCGGAGCCACCAGGGAGGCTTGATGTTCTAGTCCTTGATTCCAGGGCTTGTCCCCAGTTTGCAAATTCTTTGCTGCCACTCCAGCTTGTGTGTGTATTTTACCTCACGAAGCACACATTACAAGGTGTATCTGTTCTGTATACAGCCTTGCCTTTCCAGAGGTAGACAATGCAGCCCAGAGAGGCTAAGTGACAAAAATGGGTCACACAGCCAGTGAGTGATGGAGATTGCAATCCAGAGCAGTCACATATGTCAGAGCTAGTCTCTAGTCTGTTCCACTGTCTTCTGCCTTTGCTGAGCCCATTGTATTGTAGACCCTGTAACATGACCCCGACAGGGTTCATGCCCACAGGACAGTAACAGTGACATTCCGATGCTAGGGGCAGTCTGATGCATTACCTCTTTGGCCCTCCACCAACCTAAGGATTAACTCTCACCCTGCCTGTAGTCCTGGAAACTGAGGCTCAGACATCTGAGTGACTGGCCCAAGATCCCACATCTAGTAAGAGGCTGCTCGCATCACATCAGCCAGATGGGTTCTGGGTCATGTGCTCTAACTTACACAACCTTTAAAGAGCTGGCACATGTTCTATATGAACTGTCCAGTTTAAGTTGGGAAAAGGAACCTGCAGAGACTAGGGACCCCAGAAAGGTGATGGTGAAAAAGGGGTGGGCCTGAGTGGACCACCGTTGCCCCAGTAAGCCGCTGTCCCATCTTGGTCTTATTTCAACCTTAACAGATACAAAGACTGTCTTTTATGTTTTGGGGTGAATGTGTGAAGGGCCAGTGCCACCTGCCAAGAAGACAGAGGGGTGAGCCAACGTGGGTGGACTGGCTGCAGGCTGGACCTGCCTGGTGCTTGAGGTGGGCATGTGTTTGCATGCTCTGGGCATTCTGGGCATGCACTTCATCGGCAAGCAGGCTTTGCATTAAAGTCGACACAGTGGAGGGACGCAAGGAGAAGGCAGGATGGAAGGACATCATGTAATTAGGCCTCCAGCTTTCACAGCTGACTCCAACTCACTGATCCAGGTGCCAGATTGTGCCCTAACTTTTTACTTCAAAAATATTAATTTTTGAAAATTTAGAAAATACAGAATAGTGCTCACACCAGAAGCCACGTGTGCATTTATACAGACATGGGCTTGACAACATGACATCATTTTGTGCATCATGGGTAGTGACTTTCATTTCCCAATTGACATTAATTGTATTTAGCTCTTCATGCCATTAAGTCATCTTAATGACTTGAGTGTCCTTTTTTTTTTAAGATTTATTTATTTATTCATACAGAACTGGGGTACAGGCCAGAGGAGCAGGGGTGGTGAGAAGACTCACCAGAGACAGAGCAGGAAGCAGAACAGGCTGACAAGCACACTGCTGAGGGGAGCAGCGGGCGGTCAGGAGAGGTCTACCTCGCCATGTGGTCACCTCCGGGGCAGGCGGGGATGGAACTCATGCGGAAGTGGCCTTAGCTTCTTAGTGCTGTGCTTTAACCTGCTGCGCCACCAGGGAGGGCCCTAGAGTGGTCACTGGGGGTGGAGACAGACTTCAGTGCCTGGAGATGCTTGACGGGCTTCCAGGGCTCACAGAAGAGTGAAGGGCAGGTGCAGACTGTTGCTGGCTTTGCTTAGGAGGCTGGGGGATGGCCTGGCACTTTCTTTCCAAGGGGGCAGAGTTGGAAATGGGGACTCGCAGTTTCTGAAGAGGACCCAGAGCGCGAAGAGCCTTGGGCAATCTAGAGCAGTGGAGGCGGCCGGGACTGAGTGGCTGCCCCTGTGTTCAGGGAAGGCGTGTGAGTGGCTGCCTCTGGTGTTCCTGCCGAACCTAAAATCAGCCTGCCCTGAGTGTCTGCAGGGTTCCTCACCTGCTGTCTGTGTTCACACAGTTGGGGGCTTGCAAGAGTAGCAGTCTTCCCTGGGGCTCCCCCTCAGATGCAAAGATAACTAAAAGGGGAAACTGGTCAGAAAGTGTCACCTGGGCCCCTTCTGGCAGCAGCTGCTTCAGCCTTCAGCCAGTCGGGCTTTGACTTAGGGTCCCTTCACTGGGCCACGGTTTCCATGAGGGGCCTGACTGCTGGAGCAGGGGGCCCAAGAAGCCTAAGAAAACGTGACCCCCAACAGTTGGAAAGTCCGTTCCCTGGGCAGCTGACATGCAAGCCCGAATGGGAAAGGTCGGTTCCCAGATCGCCGCCTCTTGGGTTGCTATGAGTTCGGGTTTGGGATCCTCTATCTCCCGTGTGCTCCCATCCACAGTGAGTTCACAATATCACCTCTTTAGGCTGTATTTCCTAAGTGCTCCACGTGTCAAGCATGGGCTCCAGGTGCTTGGAAAGGCAGCAGTAAACAGCGTGTCCCACTGCCATGGAATTCAGAGGCTGGAGGGGAGGGGCGAGAGGAGACCAGCAGGACACGTAAATATGTCCCACGGCCAGTGACGACAAGTGCTAAGAAGAAAAACAAAACAGAAGACAGAGGGGCAGGGTGGGCCGCTATCGCTTCAGTGGGCTGCTCAGAGGGGGCCTGTCTGCAGAGGCGACATTCCGATGCAGCCTGGAATGAAGACAGGGGAAGTCATGCAGTTCCCTGGCGAGGCGCGTTTCAGGGAGCGGGGGCCGAGCAGGTGCAAAGGGCCTGCGGCAGGACTGTACTTGGCCCGTTGCAAGAACCGCTTGCAGGTGAGACCGGATGGGCTGAGGTGGGAAGCTGTGGGCTGCTCAGGTCAGCAAGGTAACAGGGCCCGAGAGCGGCGGGGCCCCATGGAGGACTCCGGACCCCGCTCCAAGCGAGATGGACACTCTTGGAGGGCTGCGGAAGGGAGAGTGACAGGCTTTGCCTCGCACTTCAGCCACGTTATCGTGACAGTGGTCTGGTAAAGCGAGTGGGGGAGCCAGGCCAGGAGCAGGGAGGCAGCTTAGGGGGCTACTGTAGAAATTGGGGCGCTGGGGGGCAGAACACGGTTGCAGGGACCAAGGTGACTGACATCTGCGGGTGGGAGAAATGGATCTATTTGGAAGGCGGAACTTACAGACTAAGTGTGAGCGTTGGCGCTGTGTGTGGTCCACCACCCACTCTCCTGAACACTTTAGAGAATTCTGGAAGGGAAGCAGTTAAAGGAAATACTGCAAACATGCTAGGGCCCTGCCTTCCACATTTCAAACATCAGGTCCCAGGTGATATGCATGAGATCGGAAAGGCCAGTGCAGATAGAAACTGCCCAGTCGTCAGAGGCTACACTGTTTCCAATTTGTTCTAGGGACATACAGTACCCTCATTCAATGGGAAACTCGGCAGCGATTTTACTAAGACAGCTTAATCGTTCTATTCGTGCAGTGACCCTGAACTGCGACTGGTCTGCAGATACCATTTTTAAGAGTAGCTTTCTTCCCTAGGAACAAATTTTAATATATGTTTCCTTGCCTTGCTTTTCATTAAAAGAGGCCAATCATTGCCCGTCCCTCATTGTGAACAATGTGAAATGTTAGGCTGAAGGTCTGTGCTCGGTGGGACTGGACTTACTTTGCTGTTATCATCTATACTGCAGATGGTGGTGGGTGGGGGCCACATAGATATTTTTATCTTGCTTGTAATTGAATCCAACAGAACATTCAGGAGAGCTGGGGAAGGCACAAGTGGGTAAGGGAACCGGTGTACCGGGCTTCTGTACCGGACACCCCCATCATCCTCTGTCTCCATGCCTACACTCCCTTCATCAGTTTGAATGGATGCGAGCCTGCAGGCACTGAGCATGATCTGCCACCACGAACCCCCTCCGCTGTCTGGCCTGAGTGGTTGTTGAGAATGGGGAAAGCATCTGTCCATGTCTTGAACTATCCTAGACTGTTTGAGAACTCAGTTTCAACCAATAGGCACAGTTAGATTAGTGTTTATGAGACCAAAGAAGACTCCACCCCATTAGCAGATCCGCTGGACTTTGCCAGAAGGAATGAACTCACCCCCTGCTGTGAAAAGTTTGCTCACGCAAACACTGCTTCAGCTCTCATCTCTTCTTGCTTCCTTGGCGTTTGCTACCATAGTCCAGTTTCTTACTGTCCTCATGCCCAGATCCTTCTTGAAAAAGGGTTTTCCATCCCCAGACTTGAGTGAGTGGCTGATATTCGCCAGTGTGAAGCCCTTTAGAACGTTCCGTGGAGTTCTCCTGTAAGTGTATTCAAAACACCAGCTGGAAAGTAAAGCGATAGCAGTGACCCAACACCAATGGTGTTTAACCAAGCAATTCTACTTCTGGGACGGTCCTTGAAGAACTGGTTGGACAAGGACCCAAGGATGCTCAAAGATGCTCAGAACAGTGTTGTTCCTTCCTATAAGTGAAGGGATGACAGTGACCAGGTGCCCTTAACTACTGTGTTCGCCATGGTGCTGTTTTCCACAGGAATAATTTGAGAGCTGCTGTTGTTTCTCTTCCTTGCGAGGGGAGGACAGTCACCATATCTTAATGTGGAAGTGGCCTTGAAAACAGTACAGGCGGTGACAGCACATACACAAAAAGGAACAGTTCTAGAAAGAAGCCTGCTTACTTGTGGACAGCTGCGGTCTCAAGATACCTACACAGAACGCTTAGTCCTTTAACCTTTTCTGTATTTTCTCCACACTGAAAAATAGCGTGTGTTAACCAGAAAAGCAAGCTCCCTCTATTTTGAGAACAACACACACCTCACGTGTCTTGTAAATCTTTTCTTCCCAGATAGTGACATGCCTCCAAATCAGTGGCGTTTCTCTTCTCAGTGGACAAAGCCGCAGCAAGAAGTATCTTTTGAAAGTGGTGGCGCCAACTGCAGCCTGGAAGCCTATGGTGCCGCGGCCACCGAGCCGTTCCCGATGCCCCTGACGGAGATCTCTTCCACCCAGCATGGGGAGCTGTGGCCATTCTCCTCAGCCAGCCCCAGCACCCCAGAGCCTGGCTACCCTCCTGCCTTTACTGAGGGGCACCTGCTCCCAGAGCCTCAGCAGGATGAGAACTATGAGCCCCTCCTAAGTCTCCTGCAGCAAGACAGGTGCCTCGGGCTTCCTCAGCAGTCCACCTCCTGGGAAGATTACCACGCGGCCCCGATTGCCGGAAGCACGGGATTGCTCTTCAACCTGCCGCCCAGCTCATCTCACTGTAAGGAAGGGCCTCCGGGTGCGGGAGGGCTGCCGTTGATGGCTTGTGGTTGCGTGGGAGTCGGAGTGCGGTGGGGTGGCGAGACCATGTCTGCCACTCGAAATATCGGGCTTCGCGAGACAGAATGTCCTGCTTACACTTTCCAGGCTCTTCTGTAGGTGTCCTCACGCCATTCACAGGCCTCAAGCGGGCCACGTGGACTTAGCCCAGAATCTTCACCCTAGTCTGTTTGTCGATTTGGACATAATCCTAGAAAACCAGGGTCTGCTCCCTAATATCGTAGGGCCCTCTGTTCACCTCTTTGAGCTGTCAGATGCCACACTTAGAAAATAGATCTCTGAGAATAAAACAGAACCCTGAGATATACCTACCTGCAGGCTTGAATTTTAGCCTCCAAACAGGCTGACAGCGTGCAATATGCCCGGCTCCTGGGTACAAACACGGGCAAACTATGTAACAACCATCTTCTTCACATACTCGCATTCAGAGGCTCTGCAGCGGCAGCCCCAGCCTGGAGCCTCTCACGGAGCCTGGCAGGCTGGCGCCTGCTCCCTGACGTCCACCCTGCCCTTGAATGAGAATTTCCTTGAGGCTCATTCACTTCTTCCTTCACTCCTTCAGCTAACAAATATTTTAACAGTGTCTTCTACATCAAAATACTCAACAAGACTCCCTTCCTTAATAGGATGGGGCAAAATTGGCCTAAGCCATACGTCCCCCAAAACCTATTCTGCTGCCAGTTTTGGGGTCATATGACAGCTTGGTAATAGCATATATATGTGTTTTATAGGTTCTGGGCCAAATCTGCACTCTGGCATTCAGTGCCTCTGGGTGAATTTACCGGTACAGTTTCCTAGGCCAGACACAGCTGTGGTTCTAGCGGTCGAGGACTGAAAGAAATTACTGGAAGTTGTCTTTACTCTGAACTAAGTATATAGTCCACAAAGGGCCTTTTCAGCATGGCCTACCTGAGGCAGGCACTGTGCTCCATCTAAATATCAAAAGCAAATTGCCCATTAAAATACCAACAGTCATTTCCAAAGTTAGATTAGGAATGTAACTCTAAAAGAATAAATCGTAAAAATACGCCTGGGCAACCTATGAAAATTCCCACCTTGCGCTTGATTCCCCCAAATCTGTTCTTACTGCATTCAGAGGGAAAATTCAGCCAACTGTTTGTGTCTGTGCCTGTGCATACACATCGCGGGCCTCTGTTTCAATACTTGCTTGGAACACAGATGGTTCAAGTCATCGCCTCCCAAACATGACAACTTCATACAGTTCAAATCCAATTCAGGAAAGATGCAGTGAGCATCACCGACAAGCCAGGCACGTCCCAGCACAGCTCCCGCACGGCCATCCTCCTGTTCTCGAAATCTCTAGACAGCCTCAGACAAACGGGCACCCCTAAAGTCTCAAGGGTTGCGAATTCAAGCGCCTGCTAGCATCGCCATCAGTCACACTCACTGGTGACTGATCGCCCAGGATCTGTTGGGAGTTGGCGACCCTCACTCTGAAACACTGCCTGAGAGGTGGGAACAGCCTCAGTGGGTCTTTAAGCTTTTGGGTTTTGTAGTGTCTCATGAGAATATATGCCAGATGTCCACAGCCTCAGGGGAAGGTGATTTGGGGGCCTACGTAGTACCTTCTCACCTAGAGTCAAAGATTTTTTTTTTCCAATCATGCTTTCTTCTGTTTTCTAGATAAGAAAGTATATTTCTCCCCAGATCGTGGACCTGCCACCACCAGCCTTGCAAGTGAAAGTAAGTATCTGTATTTTGAGAATAAACTGAAGGAGAAGCTGGTGGCATAGAAACCAGGGTCTCCAGCAGCTGAAAGGACCCTCATTTCTATTCAGTATTTGCTTGATTAGTATTTGTTTCATTTTCGTCTCAAAGACCTCAGGCACTTGGTATCCTGTAGGTTTTTTTTTTCCTCTTGTTTTGCTATAAAAGCAACTCTATTGAGTTCTGTTACTTTAGCTGGATTGAACTGAGATAACTAAAAAAAAAAAAAAAAAAAAATTCATGAGGATTAGCTTGCTCTGTCCCAGATGTTGTTTCTATCCTAGAACTCAGGGGCCATCCCAAGACTCTGCAGCTGGAGAAAATGACAATTCTGGCCAAAGGTCAGGGCTCTGGGCTCCACACTCAATTTGAAGGCGACATCAGGGTGAACTTCCAAAGGGGCGCAATCTGGGTGGGGTGAGATGAAGATCTCCACGGCCCGGGTTCAGACCCCAGCTTCCATCCAAACCCTGGCTTCCTGACCTTGCCTCAGGGATGAACTCACTTCCCAGCCTCTTCATATCTTAGTTGCCTCATTTGGTAAATGATGTATCACAACACTGCCCACCCCACAGGGTTTCTATGAGGATTAGAAGAAATAGAAATGATTTTTATAACTATAAAATAGACAGCTTTCATAAACACACAAGTGTCTAGAATTAACATTCTGATGCAAATAAGCCACATTAAGTCAGGCAAAATAAACCACTAGATGCACACATCAGAAAGCCAAAGCCTTTTGGGGGCATTGTGTGGGCCTCAAAGACAACTTGTATAGGTGATGGCAAAGTCTAATTTGTGACCAGAGGAATGGCTGGCTGAGGTAGAAGAAGGAAGTACAAAGTCACTAGAGATAAGGTGAATGATAAAAATCATGGAAGTGAAACAAACTAAGGACTGGTTTCTGTTTTCTATTTTTGTCTTCATTACAAGTAGGGAAATGGAAGTTTAGAGAGGTTCAGTCACTTGCCCAAAAAGTCAAGATGCAAAAGGGCCAGCATCAGTCTTTGCAGATTTCAGAGTTCTTGGCCTTAGCTGCTAAGCTCAGTTGCACAGTGCCCACCTCACGAGGGTTTCTGTAATGTCAAACGTAACAGATGGCATGTACAAAACGACAGGACCCAGACTACACAGTAATGCCACTCTACCACTGAAGATGCCGCTAACATTATTGAACATATGTGTCAGGTGCTAGTCTAAGGCCTTGGGATGTGTCATATTCACTTTATCCTTACCAGAATCTTGGGAGGCAGATATCATTTAGGTCTCCATTTAACAGAAAAGGAAAGAGGGCTCAAGTAGACTCAGTGACGTGTCCAAGGGAGGCTAGGCAGTGGGGAGGCGTGGATTGGAACCTGGGCCTCATTTGACCCCAGAGCCAGTTTCTTCCTCATTATGCTTATTCTGTCTTCCAGAAACCCAGTGCCCAGGGTCAAGTAAAGATATGTTCTTTTATTGAACTTCGGTTTGAAGAGGAGAATTCCTTCCCAAAGGAATGATTTTCTACTGTGAGTCCAGAGAGTCGAAAGATGTCACCATCCTTTTCTGTTTCTGCCACTAAAAAGCATTGAGCCAGGAGCTACTTTCTGTTTTCCAAAAAAATGTCTGTGTCTCTTTCCTGTCACCTAAGTCCCATGACAAGTTTTTGAATGTGTTAAGTGTGTCCCCAGCCTATAACATGATGAATTGTTCAGGGACCAGGGCCACCAAGGCCCACCGCCTTGCACATCACATTCCCTTTGCCCTCTTAGAAATCACAGTCCCTCACCCTCCACTGGCAGGTGTTTCATGCCAAGGCCAACCATGTGGTCTCCTATGGGATTGTTCCATTTTCCTAATGAATAGAGATACCAAGGATAGCCTGATGTTTTCTAACCTTACCTAGACTGTGGGGAACTTCATTCCTGCCTCTACCAAAAGCAAAATGAAAATATGCAGGCAAGACCCATTGAGAAGGAGTTGAGACTGGGTGTTGTGCACCCTTCAAGTATTGAAGGAATTTAAGGTTGACCCTGATGAATGAATGAAATTTCACTTGGAAAATTTGACCATTCAATACTAAAAAGGTGATTCCAAGTGGCATTGCTGAGAAATCTAGGAACTAACATGGGAAGTCAGTTTTGCTAGTTCTCTTAGCCAAGCCAAGATAGCAGGCTGGACCCAGAGACAGTTCTGTAGCCAGAATGTCTTAGGTGCAATTCTGTGGGTTCCTGTCTGTCCTCACTCTGGATGAAGACTGGCATCGGTCACCCCACAGCTTCATCTGGACTTTGGGAGCATCTTAAGTTCTCCTTTACTTTTGCATTGCTTGTGACATCTGGGAAATACTATTTTCGGCACAGAACTACGGGGGTCACCCCATGGATACCACTGCGTCTCAGCTGAGTTAGGTGTGAAAAGCAAGGCTTTGTCTAAGACATGGTGGCTGGACTCCCTGCAGGTGTTCTAGATTCAGTCACAAATTGCTCAACCCTTATTTCTCTCCAGTCTGGTAGACAACCCTGCACTCAGTGTGAGCTTAGTACTTGCCCATGGTGAGCCCAGAATCCCTGCTGAATGCACCCCATCCTTACCCTGTTTGCTTCTGTGGAACAGCTCAGAGGGTGAATAATAAAATTTCACATTTTTGGATTCTGCTCTTCTTTCTTTCACACCCAAGTTCTCATTGAGACTGCCAGAACCCTGTCTCGAACACTTTCCTGTGTGTTACATATGTTTCCTATATTTAGTAGGAAAAAATAATCACCTAGCCAGTGCATTTTGTCTCATTTACCTTCCAAAGTGTGTTTTGTTTCAGGTGATGGTTAAGGAAATCGGTGTGGACACTGGCATTAACATCTGTGATGCATAATTATACATGGCTGGCTCTAGAAAACTTATCTGTGTTAGAAGATGACATGCAATCAGAGTTGAGCTTTTCATATGCTGTTTTGGAAAGGAATAAATGATTCCAGAGGGCTGGCATCTTAGGGAGATTGGGCGATCGGATAGCCTTTCCCGGCAAACCTCCCAGTGTGGAAGCTCTCTCTTGACTAAAGCTGAAAGCAGTAATCAATTTTCCCCTGGAAATAAGGAGGGAAGGAAAGGTTCCCTGTGTGGGGGACCACTGCTCCCCTAATGCACAGGTAACCCCTATGATCCATGCCTAGGTCAACTGTTACTTAATCCCAACTGATATTTTTGGTTTTCTATAGTCAATCCTTAAAAAAAAAAAAAATTTATTTTAGGTATGTAAGAACTGAGGTACAGTACAGGCCAGGGGTTCGGGGGTGGGGCTAAGGTTTTAGCAGAGCAGAAATCCACTGCCTAGGGGAGCAGCGGGGACTCAGGAGAGGTCTTAAGCAGCCTGTTCTTAATGTCACTGCAAACATGGGCTGAGAGTTAGGATACCTGGGTTCCCATCCTGGCTGCGTTTAGCTGTGTCATCTTGACTAAGTCACCTCTTAGCAGCCGCCACCAGCCCTGCAGCTGGGTCTGTTTCTCTACGTGTAAACTGAAATGGTCCCTTTGGTCATTTCCGGCTCTGACAGCCTGTATTTTCAAATAAATGTATGACATGAGCTATCCAGAGCTGCTCTACTGGAGCTCAAAGAAGAGGACCGAGTCCAGATAACCCAAGGGCAGAAGGAGAGAACACAGTGGCCATTCAGCAGCAGGGAGCAGACAGCCAAATGCTACCACCGCTTAGCACCGAAGCATCTGCTTCGGCTGCGCTCTTAGTGGGCAGCTTCCAACCCACGGAGTGTTGTGGGGTGCCAGCGCCTCCACTTCTCCCAACGAGGGACTCCTTTAATGAGGAATATTTGCTCCAGAGCTCCTGTTGAGTTCACTGAGACGGCCGGATCTGCCTCATGTTGTGAGAAACTCCACTTCTCCCTCAAGTCTACTTCCTCCCCCAGGTGTTGCTCATCAAGGCCCCATAAACCTCTCACACACCAAACTCCTCCGTGTCTGCCTCCTGGAGGGCCCAGCTGACACACATTACAGCGTTTTAAGGATGAAGACAAGTGGCAAGGCTCTTAGTGATTAGACTAGTCTGACCAGAGGAGAGCATTCAGGTTGGCGCTGGTGAAGAGTTGGGGCTGATGAACACTGTCACGTGGAGTTAGGACTGGACAACTTCACTTCTAGGGCTATCCACCGAAAAGAAGTTAGCAAATGCACCAAAATTTAAGTAGACAGGTGTTCAACACAGCATTGTTTGGACAATTCATGTCAGGAACGATGTAAATGCCCACAGACCCAGTGTAGGGCTGGCATTAAATGAATTATGCTCTGCCCATCCGATATATTCTAGTCAGCCGTTACAAATGATGCTACAGGTGCATTTTTATTCTAGAAAATGTACATCATTAAGTACAAAAAGCTAGGCACCATTGCACTTTAAATTCATTGCAAAATTTCATTGCAAAATAAATGTATAATTCAAAGGGGTGTAATTGTTTACTAGTCATGATAGTAACTGCCCCTCCCCTGATGTTAGTAGTGTCAACTAGAGGGGACCTCAATTTCTTTCAAAAGAAATCAGCTGAGTAAATTACAATGGAACACTATGACGAAGGTTCAAAGACTTGGGTAGATTAATATATACCAGTACAGAAAGATATCAAAGATGTGTCATTGAGAAAGGCAAGTTGCAAATTGGTAGGCTTGGTATCATCCATTTTGTGTGTTTTGAAAAAGGCGTCAGTGTGTGTGAGTATGTTTTTGGCACAACATTGCACAACCCTGGCGTGGTGGCGTGGGGGGTGGACGCTCACATTCTGTCACATGCTATACTGTGTAACTGAAGCTCACTCTGACACACCGGGTGTGTGTACCTATGTAGACACGCAGAGTCTGTGCGCACGCGCACATACACACCAACATTATACGACTCACTGGATACTCTCACAATCAGTGACACTCATCTCCTTCGGAGACTACGTGCTTGTGTGCGTCTGGAGAGCAGGGAAATTTTACCTGTTCTGGTATGAGTTTCTGTGCTGTTCAGTGTTTAGGAGTCAAACTTTTTAGAAGTTGCTTTCACGAGAAAATAATTTTACTCTATCTTATGCAGAATGTTTTTAGAAAAAGGAGCAAAGATTATGTGAGAATGGTGTCATTTGGAAGCAGTGCAAAGTGACCTCGGCAACCCACGCTCATTCTTCCCTTAGCTTCCCTGTCTTCTTGCTATATATTTTGTTTGTTACAATTATTCGTTGTTGAGGTAACATCGGTTTACAACTCTTGTAATCTGTTTTAGGAGTTCAAGTTCACATTTTTTCAAATGTCAGGTGGGAAAAGAAACATACATTTGGAGAAGCAGACAAAGCTTCCATGGCCACCTAGGTCAGGTCCCTGCTTTTAGACAGATTTAAACTATTTAAATGAGCCAGGACACATCAGTCCGTATGAGGAAAATGTTAATGACTTTCTTTGCTAAAGGCTAATTACCTGCACTCAGTATTTTTTCCCCTTGATTGCGTATAACTTATGTAGAAATAAAACCAAATTCCAAACACATTTCTTGAGTGTCTGTTATGAAGTTACCTTCATATGAATGGTCACCTTTGGGACCTCACCGTGATCCTGTGCAACTGACAGAGAAGGAAACTGAGGCTCAGGGAGAGGTGAACACAGCAACGGGGACACAGGGAGGACTGCTAGTGTGCGCCCGCCGTACGCTCTTTACAGTACGGGGTACAGGCATGCATTTGACCCTCCACATGTGGGCCTTCTGAGTCCCATCTTGCCGAGGAGGCTGGGATCCAAGATCAAGGCACCAGCAGATCCAAGCTCTGACCCTGTCTTGAGTTCCCAGGTTCCCGTCCACTGTGTCCTCACACGGTGAAGCTCTGTGGGGTCTCTCAGAAGGGCATTCATTCCATTCACGAGGACCCCAACTTTACGACATGTCCCATTAGGGCTCCTCTCCTACGCTGCCTCTGAAAGGCCCCTGTCCTAATACCTGCCCTTGGGGGTTAGGTTCGAACAGAGAAAGTCGGGGTGACAACATCCACCTCTAGCAGGCACCCTGCTTTTTGACTTGGCACAGCCAGCCTTCCAGCCAGCTCCCCCATTTGGAAGGGAAGTGCTCTCTTCACTAGCCCACTCGGACCTCTCCACCACTTTCTCCTGGTGAACCTTGCATTTCCTTGATATAATCCTGCAATTAAAAGCAATTTAACTTTTTGACTTTTTTCAGAATCCAGAATTCTGCATGTAAGGGTCTCGAAACATCTGCTCCCAGTCCTTGTGAGAAGGGTGGTGGCAAACATGAGCTCAGCTCTGAGATTTGGTTAAGCCAAAGATAAAAGCATCACTGCTGGCCCTCCCTGGTGGTGCAGCGGGTTAAAACACTACACTAAGAAGCTTAAGCCACTTCCGCATGAGTTCGATCCCCGCCTGCCCCGGAGGTGACCACATGGCGCGGCAGACCTCTCCTGACCCGCCCGCTGCTCCCCTCAGCCGCGTACTTCGTAGATCTACCTGTTCTGCTCCCCACTCTGTCTCTGGTGAAGCCTCTCACCCTCTGCATGTCTGGCCTGTACCCCAGTTCTGTATAAATAAATAAATAAATCTTTAAGAAAAAAAGCATCACTGCTTCAGAATTATTCTTTCTGGTGGAGGGGGAGGGAAGAGCCATTTATTTCATGAAAAGTACTACTTTAGTTATAAGCACTGGCTACGGGGAGGGGGGTGGGGAAAACGGATGGAGAATGGTGTAACAGCAACAGTTTTACTTTTGTAAGATAAGAAGTTCTAGAAATCTGTTACACAGCAATGTGAACCCAAAGAACCCTAAAGAATGGTTAAGATGGTAAATGTTATGTTAATAGGTTCTACCAAACATTTAAAAATTAAGTAAAAAAGAAAACCTCCTTAGAAAGTTCTGGAGATTTTTCACAATGTACAAGAAAGAAGACGAAAAGAGAGGGTGGTGAGGAACATGTTCTGTTCTTCAGCTCTGCAGTGTTAGACAGTGTGGCGCCTTGTCCTTTATTCTTGCAGTCAATGCAGATCTAGAATCTTCCAAACTGAACTGATCAAAACTAAAAAAAACGAAGATGTCAGCTATATTTGTGCACACCACTAGATGGTACAAAAACCCAGTTTCTGGTAATCATTTGCTCCTGTTGTGAAGGCAACAGCAGAGTCTTTGGAAGCACTCTGAATATGTTCTTGGTGAAGTTGGAAAGTAAAATAGGTTGAAACAACATCTGGGTAAAATAGCACAACATCTTCGTTTTCTGTTCTTGTTTCCTGTTTGCTATTGATCGAAAAGGCACTTTGGGAAGCACGCTCAGGTCAGGCACATTTTTCAGTCTTTCCCAATGCTTTGGTTGGATTTTGTGTCCCCAACTGCAGTGGAGATCTGTCTACACTGACTGACTTCATATCAACCGTTTGTACAATGATTGAAATGATGGTAAAAAAAACTTTTCCAATTCTAGGTCAGAAGAATCTACTTTTCTTTTCTTACTTAACAGAGAAATGTTTTGGGGTTCTGAAAGGCAAAGAAGCAGGATTCCACTTAAGTAAGGTTAAAAAAAGGAAAAAAGAACAGGCAGTATAAATCTATGGTGTAAAACGTATAAACTTAAAAACAAGAGGACTCTTCACCTA